TTCAGGACACTAGGAAATGGACTATGGTGCCAGAGCCGAGTCTGGGCCCCAGAGGGCTCTCATTGGGTACTGCCTTACTCTTTGATGTAATGCCTCTATTAATGCAAGCTATGGTTGCACTAGGTTGAGGGTCCACGATGACCCCCAGATCCTCTTCTCCAGAAGAACTATAGTAGGGATGTTCTATACTGATTTAATTGAGCCCAAGGGTGAGATTACATGTATCCCAGATTCCATTCGGTCCAATATTACATGGACTATTGAGATAGGATTGGCTATTTGGAGCAAAGGCAGTGAGGTGAGATAGTCGATGGAGAATGAGATTTAGGGTCAGAAAGACCCAGGTTTGAATCCTGCCCCAGAGGGAAGTTCCATCCCCTCTCTCAGCCTCAGTGTCCTCATTTGTAAAAGGAGGGGATTGGGTGGCTGGCTAGCCCCTACTGAGCCAGACAAGGCAGGGCTTGTTCTTGGGTCTGGGAAGTGGCTAGAAATGAATTATCTTTGGGCAATTTGGGCTTCATTGATCTGTGTGAGAGTGTACCCTCCCCCTTTCCCTCAATCTCTGTGAAAAATAAGCTCTCTGGGGGCAAGGGAAGCCTTCGCTGTCTTGGCATCTCTAGCTGTCAACTCAGGGCCTGGCACACAGGAGGTGCCGTGTAGGTCTGCCTGCCCTCAGGGGGCATACAGTCTGGGACCAGAGCAGAGACTGTCCAGGAATGCCCAAGGATGAGTTCAGTGGGGGCTGTGGGAGAGGGAGGTCTGGGGAAGGGTGTCCAGCACAGGCCTCTTTGGGATGGAAGACCAGAGGAGGCTCCCCAGAGAAGGCCCCAGCACTGACTGAAGGCAGGCATGCTTGGCCAAACAGGAGGGTGGCTGTTGGACAGGGATGTGGGTGATGGTGCAGTGTGGGGTGCCTCGCCTGCAGGGCTGGGCTGAGGGAGCTCCCATAAGGAGTAGCTTTGGTGAGGCGCCAAGTCTTCATTTCCTGATCATGGTGCTCACTACTGCATGGTGCCTCTGATTGAAGGACAGACTTATTCGAAGGCTTTGTTCATCTCGTGGCTAGGGCCGGTAGACACATTGAGCCAGCACGGAGAGAGGAGCAGGAGAGAGGGTGGCCCAAGGGGGATGGATCACCACAGAGGTTACTCGCTCCCTGCCAGGTCCTTGTCTTTCCTCAGGGCTGAGGTCCTGAAGCCACACCGAGCTCCTCCACCTTGGGCTTTCACAGGCTTGCAATGGAGCGGGCCAGTCTTCAGCCTTTGGGCTAATCCCCAGGCCCCACCTGAGGGTGGTGGGTGCTTGTGTGCAGCCAGAGGGAAGAAGCTGATACCTATGGTCTCCAGGAACGGGATGAGGAGAAAACCAAATCTCTGGATGAGAGATGCTCCCCAGGTCCCACCACTGGTAGTGAGAGTGGAAAGGGGAAATGGAGGAGGGAGCCCCTCTGGTCTGCTTTGGACCCTCCTCCTAGTGTGCAAACATGCCCAGCTGGGTGCCCCCCACCCCCAAGAGCATCCACTGTTTGCCAGAGGGAGGGGCAGAGTGGCAGGCCCCACCCTTGCCTCTCCCTCCCAGCTCACGTGAGCTGGCCTGGGGCCGAGCCAGCTCCTGGGCCTACATAAGGCTCTTCCTGGGGCTTTGCCTTTGCAGAGGCCAGTGGAGCTCAGCCACCATGGGTGCCAGCCCCTGGCAAGCCCTGCCCCTCTGGGCCCTCCTCCTGTTTGCCTCCTCCTCCAGGCAGCAGCAGCAGCCAGGTAGGGTCCTCCCTGCTTAGGGTTATCTCCTCCTGACTGGCCAGCCTCACAACCTGGAGGGATATGTCTCCTCTGGGAGATGTCTCTGCAGCCCTTGTCCCTTTCCATTTGTCAGAGAGGCACTGGGGATGGGCCAGCCATCTGCCCAGGTGATCCTTCAGGGCACCCTTGTCAGCTCCATCCTGGCAAGCGTGGGTCCCGAGGCTGGGCATGCCAGGCCAACCAGGGCTCCACAGGTGGTCTCAGGGGGCTGGCAGGCTGCTCCATCCCTCCAGTACTCCCCCAGGGTGGGGAGGGTGGAGGGCTGGGCTGAGCGTGGGACGGGAGGCCCACACCGGCACGGCCAAGGCTCCGTCTCCAGCCCAGTGTTTGTGGGTAGAACGAGGCTCCCAGGGAGTGGCAAGGCTAGATATCTGTGTCCCCCCTCCCCTCCCTTCCTGCTGATTTCTTCTATGCCTAGGGAGTGTCCACAGCCCCTTAGACTGAGAGCCAGAAGGGGCCCACCATGCCTTCACCATATGCCCTCAGCTGAGGGTTTCTGCCCCTTGGGAAGGTAGATTCCCAAAGCTGCTCAGGTTCTGATGCTCACAGACTCCTTGCACGTGTGTACGTATGACATATAGGCTGTGTGTGTTACCCAGGACAAGCAGCCCTCCCTCAGCAGCAGAAGACACCTGGCTCAGCAGATCACACCACTGGCCCCGTCAGTGTGCCCTTTGCACCCCAGCCTAGGTGCTCTGGGTGGCCCTTTGGGACCTCCTATCTGGCTTGCTCTAGCCTAGCCCCCAGATCTCTGGCCTCTGATGGCCCAGAGTCCAGCCCCTCAGGCTCTGCTGTCTACCCATCTCAAGGGACAGCTGGCCAGTCTGCTCAAGCGTCCAATCTCTGCGACAGCCCCCTCCTCTCTCTCCTCTGAATGGAGGCCTTCTGGAGACATTGGCTCTACTCTTCTGAGCTAAGCCAAAGGGATGGTCTTCCTCCAGGATTTCAGGCCCCAGAGGAGCTGAGCCCAGGGCCACAGTGACGCTTGCTGCTGCCTCTCCAATCAGACCAGATAGGCGCCCACCCACTCTTGCAGTGACTTCCAACAGGCCAGAGTGCTGGGCATTCCTCTCTTACTGCCCCTACTTTGGGCTCTCATCATCCTTTCAGGGACCAGCTGGTGGGGGCTGAGGGTGCCCATCCTGGTCCTGGCACTGCCTCCCTGGGCAGTGCCCCTCCCTCCTGGGCCCTGCACCATCCTTCCTCAACCCTCAGGCCATGGTAGCTAAGCACCATCTCTTTCCCAGGGCTCAGGCAGCACCTGCTCCAGACAGATCACCATCCTTGTCAGGAATGGGGCAGGACTAGGCCAATGGGATGGAAGGAGAAGACTGGCAGGGAGAGGGGCCGCACATCTGCCTGACTCTAAAAGACCTCAGGGAAGCAGGGCTCAATTTCTCCTCCTGAAGCTGAGAGAGTTTCTCTGCTCTGTGGGAGACCAGGGCAGGAGCTATGATGGTGTGACATCGAAGAGGGAGAAGCTGCAGAGTCAGGCTGTCCCAGCCTGGGCAGTGGTGAGCTCCCCATCCCTGGGGAGTCTCCAAGAAGGGGCTGGATGGCCCCTTGTCAGGAATGTGGAATGACCAGACCTGGCTTTGAATCCAACCTCTCGCTACGCTTGGGACCTGCCACGTTCTGGCTCAGTTTCCTTATCTGAAAAATGACGGGTTGCCCTAGATGACCTCTGCTCTTTCTGGCCTTCAAGGTCCCCTCTGAACCTGTCAGAGCTGCTGGGACTCTGCCTGGCTGGCCGTGCACCCCAGTGTGTCAGGGAAACAGGCCCAGAACCCCCAGAGTCCAGAGGCCAGCCTGTGGCTTGGCCCATGTGGCAAGAGCTTCACCAAGGCAGGAGAGGCTGTGAGCCTGTGCCTCTGGTCAGCATGGGCTTATCAACAGTGCTTCAAGGTTTGCAAAGTAGGGAAGAGAAGGCAAAAGGCATAAGCATTTATTAAGCACCTACTGTGTGCCAGGCACTGGGCTAAGCACTTTACAAGTGGCATCTGCATTTGATCTCACTCTAAGGAAGGACTTTAGAACATAGAACACAGAAGAGAGTCAGAGCTGGGAGGGACCCAGGAGGGTAGAACATGGAATGTGAATTTCAGAGCTGAGAAGGACCTTAGAACGTAGAACACAGTGACAGAAGGCCTGTCCAAGAGCAGACGAGAGGTCTGCGGCCGAGCTGGGATCTAACCTGACATCAGCCCATTGTGGAGGCTCGAGAGGGCCAGGATCCCAGCTCATGCATTTCTGGACCCCCATTTTTCACAGGCCCAGTGGCTCATGCCCTTTTCAGGCCAGCCTGGCACTGAGCAGCCTCTGCCCTGGCGGGGAGAGGGGGAGCCACTGGCCTTTCTTGCCCCCTTGTGGCTCTCACTGCACATTTCCATGGTGGGCCCTGTCCCATGGGGATCAACGCGGTGGCCTCTCTGGGCCAATCCAATGATGGTTCAGGCTGAGTTGGAGGTGGGTCTGGAAGTTGGAGGGAAGAAGTCTTGGAGCTTACGTGAAGACAATTATCTTCTGGAAGCTCTGCTGCTCAGGACACATGCAGCCTTGGCCAAGTCTCCTGCCTCTTGGGCCTCAGCGTCCCTTCTGTCTGAGGAGGGCGCTGGGCTGGACGACTACTAAGATCCCCTCCAGTCCCCACTAGGACCCCACTGAAGGAAGGTCCCTTGTTTCTTTGGGCTTCAAGGCAATCTCAGCAGGGCGCATCAGAAGTTGTGTGTGACTACCACCCCGCTCTTCAGGAGCAGGATGATAAGTGACCGGGGGGACCTCTACAGTCTGGGCCTGATCTGTGGGACGCAGCTCCACTGCCTCCACTGCCTGCTGCTGGGGGTCGGGGGAGGGAGGCCTACCCCATCTGGGGAGAGGGAGTCAAAGGACTAACACAGGCAGCTTCCCAGCCAAGCCCTCTGAGCTGCCTCAGGGCAGTAGTCTGGGCTGAGATCAGGAGACCCTTAAAGCAATTCTGGGCCAAGTGAGCGTATGCATTGAGAGTCCAGGATGAGCTGAGGGTGCCCGTGTAGACCCAGCAGCTGCCAGAGACGTCAGCAGGAGGCCTGTCTGCTGCGGGAGCCAATGCCACCCTCACACGTGGCACATGCATGTGATGTGTGATATGTGTGCATGTGCATGTGTATGCCCATGGGGGGCCTGTGGCACCCAGGCAGACAGGGGCTCTCTCTCTCCAGCTCCCTCAGGCAGTCTGCTCCGAATCACCATGCCAGCGATGACCACCATCTTGCCCATGAAGAGTGAGCATGGGCCCTGGGGGCAGGGTCTGGTCGGTGGGCTGGTCCCCATGCGAGGCTCGGGTGTCCTGGCCGAGAAGGCCCCTGCAGCCCCAAATCCAGAGCCTGGGGGGGGGTCTGTCTTACACTTCCTTCAATGGCCTTCTGCCCTATGGAACCCCCAGAGCATGAGATAGACCGGTGCCCTGCAGGTTGGGGACAGGAGGGAGTCAGAGCAGCTTGCCCAAGGCCAAGTCCCTGCCCCGGCCTCGGCCTCCTCCCCCACACAAAGGGGGCAACTGCTCCCTGGGATGAGCATCAGGGCCAGGGCCTCATGCCTGTGTGGGCCCCGCAGCTTACAACCCTTCGCACAATGGCCGAGTGTGCAGCACATGGGGCGCCTTCCACTACAAGACTTTTGACGGGGACATCTTCCGCTTTCCTGGCCTCTGCAATTACATCTTCTCCTCCCACTGCAAGTCTGCCTACGAAGACTTTAACATCCAGGTGCGGCGCTCGCCAGGGCCCAATGCCACCACGACTGTGAGCCACATCACACTGAAGCTTGAAGGGACCGTGGTGGAAATGAGCCCGGCTGCCATCCTGGTCAACGGCAAGCCGTAAGTGCGGGCTTGCATGAGGCTCCTTTCCTTTGAGACCCCAGGGCAGAGGGAAGAGGGAAGAGGGCCGAGCAGCCCCACCACCCCCGCAGAGGGAAGAGGGCCCCCCCAGCAGAGGGAAGAGAGCCAGGCAACCCCACCACCCCCACAGAGGGAAGAAGGCCCCCCCAGCAGAGGGAAGGGGGCCGGGCAACCCCATCACCCCCACAGAGGGAAGAGGGCCCCCCGAGCAGAGGGAAGGGGGCCCCCCCAGCAGAGGGAAGGGGCTGGGCAACCCCACCACCCCCACAGAGGGAAGAAGGCCCCCCCAGCAGAGGGAAGGGGGCCGGGCAACCCCATCACCCCCACAGAAGGAAGAGGCCCCCCGAGCAGAGGGAAGGGGGCCCCCCAGCAGAGGGAAGGGGCTGGGCAACCCCACCACCCCCACAGAGGGAAGAAGGCCCCCCCAGCAGAGGGAAGGGGGCCGGGCAACCCCATCACCCCCACAGAGGGAAGAGGGCCCCCCGAGCAGAGGGAAGGGGGCCCCCCCAGCAGAGGGAAGGGGGCTGGGCAAACCCACCACCCCTGCAGAGGGAAGAGGGCCCCCACAGCATAGGGAAGGGGGCCGGGCAACCCCACCACCCCTGCAGAAGGAAGAGGGCCACCCTCCACTTTCCCCCAGGCAGAGACCCAGCTCCATCACCACCTAGTTCTGTGTCTTTGGGCAAGCCCCCTCCTACTCCCAGCCTTGGCTTCTGGTCAGACCAGATGACCTCTACATGCCCTTTCTCCTCTCTTGGCCTCAGTTTCCTCATCTGTAAAATAACAAGGTTGGGCTAATTGATCTCTAAGGCCTGGTCTAGCCCCTGAAAGAGGTAAATGATGTGGGGGAGTGGCAAATGCAGAGAAAGAGCCAGACCACAGCCTAGCTTGAAATGCTCCTGTCTGTAATTGTAAAGCCTCCTCTCCATGTCTGCCCTGGCCATGGGTCTGCAGGCTCCAGCTGGCAGAGGGCAGAAGGGCCCCCTCCTCAGGGCACCTCATGAGAAGGCTTAGCCTGGGCTCCTTCTCACTGAGGGTCCAGGCCTTCCCCTCCCCTGCCTCTTACCTCCTGAAGATTGTGCTTTCTCTACAGGGTTCAGCTGCCTTTCAGCCAATCCGGCATCCTGATCGAGAACAGCAGCAGCTATGTGAAGGTCACAGCCAAGCTGGGCCTCGAATTCATGTGGAACCAAGATGATGGGCTCCTGGTAAGGGCACCCTCCTGCCAACCATGCTGCTGATGCCAGGGGCCCTGCTCACGGGTGGGGATTCCTCTTGTCTGGACCCACCTCATTTAGAGAGGAGCAATTTACTGGAATGGTGCCCTTGGGGGCATGGAGGGAAGTGGAAAGATGAGGTGGACTGTCCAGAGAAGGGCAGCTCTGTGCTAAGGAAGGGTCTGGACACAGTGGAGGACAGGTCAGAGGATGTGGGGAGGCTAAGCCTGGAAAAGACAAGGCTAGGACACAGGAGAGCTGCCTTCAGGTGTGTGTGGGAGAGGGATTATCCTTGTTCTGCTCAGCCCCAGAGGGCAGAAGCAGGGCCTTGTTGAAAAGGACCTAAGAGGCCTAGATTTGGGCTTGCTAGAAGGCAAAACTTTTAGCCACCACCTCCAAGTGAGAGGGTGAGGCGGGAGGTGGGGCTCCTCCTCTTTGGAGACTTTCCCACAGAGGGGACAGATGCCCACTTGTCAGGGAGAGTGTGGAGGGGTGCTTGGGCAGCTAGGCTTGGCTGGAGGCCACCAGGTCCCCTGTGGCTCATCCACATGTCCAGCCCAGAGACAGAGCCCTGGGGAGCTTGTCTGAGGGATGTGATTTGGAGGCTGATGAAGGTTGGGCTCCTACCCCAGAAGATTTTGTGGGCAAAGCCCACCCAGGCTGGGAGGTTCTGGCCCTAAAGCTGGCTCTGACTCCCATGAGGAAGCCGCATCAACTCATTCCAGCCTTCTGGTGGGTCTGCACCCCTGGGGCCTCGGGCTCCCTCCTCAGAAATGGCTTCTTGTCTAGCCTCTCTTTCTATTATGGCTCACCTCTCAGGGAGGCCGGGCCATGGCAGGATGCTCCGGATCTTAGCCCTGCCTGCATCCTTCATCTCCCTTTGTTGTAGCTGGAACTAGATGCCAAGTATGCCAATCAGACCTGTGGCCTCTGTGGAGATTTCAACGGCATCCCCACCTACAGCGAGTTCTTCTCCAATAGTAAGGAATCCTCCAGGACCCAAGGCCTGTTTCTGGGGCTCCAGGAAGGGCTGGGGAGGAGGGAGGACCACATCCTTTCTCCCCCTCCTCGCCCTCCTATGGTGGGTGGTGCTCAGGGATATCCTCTGTGGAAACTGAGGCTGAGCATTGCTTGCTTCCTACAGATGTCAGACTGACAGCAGTCCAGTTTGGGAACATGCAGAAGATGGACGGGCCCACGGAGCAATGCCTGGACCCCCTACCAACAGCCCTACACAACTGCACAGATGCCTTTGTAAGCCCACCCTTCTCAGAGGAACGCGCCCCTCTCCTGGTCCATCCCCAGACTCCTTTCGGATGAATGAGGGAGGGACCAGCTGATAAGGAGGACAGAAAAGGACGGGACTCTCACCAGCAGGGCCGGCTTCCTGTTTCCCCAGGATATCTGTGAGACCACCCTCAACAGTGCTCCCTTCTTCACCTGCCATGCCCTAGTAAATGTCAGCAGCTACGTGGAGGCCTGCCGCCAAGACTCGTGCCTCTGTGACAAAGGCCAGCACAGCTCCTGTATCTGCAGCACCCTTGCAGAGTATTCCCGGCAGTGCGCCTACGCTGGCGGGCAGCCCATGAACTGGAGGGCCCCAGACCTGTGCCGTGAGTAGTTCTCCCCCCAGCCCCAAGGCCCGGGAGCCCTTACGCCCAACCGTCCCTGGCCCCTCAGGAAGGGCATTCAGTTGAGGACCTCCTGTCTCCTCTTTTGTGTTGTTTCAGCCAAGACCTGCCACTTGAATATGCAATACCATGAGTGCAGCTCCCCCTGCATGGACACCTGCTCCAACCCTGACCAGTCAGCACTCTGTGAAGAACACTGCATGGATGGCTGCTTCTGTCCCTCAGGTGAGTCCCTGTCACCTCCACTGCCTCCCCTCCCCACAGACAATGCCAAGGACCTCATTGCCCTGTGCCAAAGAAGGCGTGAGTCTGCTCACACAGTACTGTGGCAGGGCCCAGGCTGGCAGTGGACTGTGGTGCACGGAGCCATCTGCCTCTGCCCTCAGGTGAGGTGTGGGGGCCATCCTGCCCTGAGGAGATCATCGACTCTTCAGAAAGAATCTTGAGTCTGACCTATGCCTGGCCAAGAACCCCCTCTCCAATGTTCCTGACAAATGCCCATGCAGCTTTCGCTCAGTGCGCTCCAGGGTGGGAGCCCACCCACCACCTCCTGCGCTAGGACAACTCACTTTGTGTCGAAATTTTCCCTGATGCTTGATTCACTTTAACTTTGTTTAGGAGATGTGCACGCACACACGCACACACACACACAGAGACAGAGATACAGAGACAGAGAGATAGAGCATTGATTGAGTGCTTACAAATGGTGTGAATGATGTTGTGGTCACCTTCCTTATGTCCTGCTCCTGAATGAGTCAGCAGTTCTGTAGAACAGAGTCACCAAGGGCGTCTGCAGGGCAGTAGCCCCCAACTTCCATCCCACTAGCCCTGAGTTAGGGGCTTTGCCTCGAGGAGAGGACAGGCACTGGATGCCGGCTGGGCATATCTGGGGCTCCTTTGTCCCTGCTGAAGGGTAAGGAGGAGGGGCCGGGCGGCAGAGCACCAAGGCTCCAAAGCAGCCTCTCTCTCGGCTTGTTTTAGGAACTGTCTTCGATGACATCGGCAGCCAAGGCTGTGTCCCAGTGAGTCAATGCTTCTGTGTGCACAGCGGACAGTCTTATGCCCCTGGAGCCTTTCGCTCCACCGAATGCACCAACTGGTGAGTGAGTGAGTGTCCCCAGCAGTAGCTGCCCATGGCCACAGGGAAGTTCGCTGAAGCAGGAATCTGGAGACTTGAGTTCAAATCCCACCATTGACATTGGCCGGCCTTGTCACCATGGGCAAGTCCTTCCACCCCCCTGCATCTCCTTGATTCAGAGATGGCAAGGCCTTGGTGGCTTCTGGTCCAGCACCATCATTTCACAGAGTGGGGCCACAGACACACAACCAGCGACTGCCAGAGTCAAGGTTCCAACTTTACCCTCTGATTCCAAATCCAGTACTCTTTTGCCTCTGTCTTGCCTCTGCTTCCCCATCTGTGAAATGAGGACAGCCAGGCTTGCCCTGCCAGGTGTGTGCTCAGAGAGCCTTTGAGCACTTTGGACCTGAGAGGCTCCCAGCTGTGATCAGAGTGACCCCAGAGCTGGCGGGTCTTGGGCTTTCCAGTGCCATGGCTGTCTGCTCTGAGCTCCCCAAAGTCTGCATGTGCTCCACCGAGAAGGTCGGTGGGGGGAGATGGCAATGCTGCCTCCCCTCAGATGCATCAGGCTCCTGAAAGTCTCCCTTGTCCTTCTAGCACCTGCTCTGGAGGCCAGTGGAGCTGCCAGGATCTCCCCTGCCCCGGTACCTGCTCTGTGACTGGTGGCTCCCACTTCTCCACCTTTGATGACAAGCATTACACAGTCCATGGGGACTGCAGCTATGTCCTGGTCAAGGTAAAGCCCCCCCCCCCCCCCCCCCCCCCCCGCCCCGGGGGGAAGCCCTGCCTCTGGAGATAATTAACCATTCACCTGGGTGTGTGGGAGGAGACTGCTGTGTGGAGCTCAGGGAGCCACAGAAAGGTGAGCTCTTTCCTTGTCTCTCTGGGGCTCTGTTTCCTCACTGCCAAAATGAAGGGTCCAGATTGTGGTCTCCAGGGCTGTCACGTCCTGGGCTTCTGTGAGGGAGAGACATCAGGGAGGATGGCTGGCCGTCCAAACTGCCCATGATACTGAGCTGGGAGGAGTAGCTAAAATGCTGGGTGATGAAGTCAGGGCCCCCAGGGATCTGAACAAACTCCCACCTGGGCTGAATCTAGAGAGGTAAAGTCTGACACAGACTCGAGTAATCAAACTCGCAAGCACAGCATGGGGGTGCACACACCACTAGATAGCGACTTCTCTGAAGAGTGTCTGGGGCATAAGTGAATTCCTTAGAGCTTCACCCCCTCGCCCAAGCTGGGACCTCTCAAAGGAAGTATTCGACAGTACACGGGAAGCTCTCCCTCCCCCTGCCCCACCTCCACCTGGAGCCCACATCGCCTGTGCCCAAGAACTCCCTCTTCTCTCCAGGAGCTTCATCCCTAGCCAAGTTAAGGTTGGCTTTGTCTGAGGCACAAGAGTTGGGCCCGACAGCCTTGGAGCCTAGGACGGTTTCTGCTCAGAAACCTCACAAGGCGGTGCCGATTTGGCACATGAGGCATTCCCTGTGGTTGGCTGGGTTCAGGAAAGTGGGATCCAAGACCAGCCAGGAGGCTCTCTCCAGCCCAGCCTCGCTGCCCAGGACCTATGTATGGAGAGGTTTTCACAGGCTCTTCTGGGGTCCTTTCCATTCTGCAGCCCTGCGATGACAAGGCCTTCGCGGTCCTGACAGAGCTGCGCAAGTGTGGACTGACTGACAGCGAGACCTGCCTCAAGAGTGTGTCCCTCAGCATCGGCAGCAGACAGACAGTAAGTGTACCCGAGCTGAGGAGACGAGGGGAGGGGGTGAGGAGGAGGAAGGAGGCGCTCCCCCTCTGGGGGAGGGGGGGTTCAGGATGAGGAAGGAGACACATGGGCACTGCTCTGGGGGAGGGGGTGTGAGGAGGAGGAAGGAGGTGCATGAGCACTGCTCTGGGGGAGTGAGGCCCCCAAACCCACTCTCATGGAGTGGGGGCTGGGCCCTGAGCATCTTTAACATTCATTCCTGTGGCCTCCAGCAGTTTCAGTGATTGCCCCAAGGTTGACTTCTCCTTCCATGATCAGTTTAATCAATCAACCAACCGTCAGCATTTATTTAGCACCTTCCCTGTGCCAACCAATGTGCTGAGAGGCTGACTGGAGACCCCTGGACAGGGGAAGCTCTCCTGGTCTGGGGAGGTTCCCATCTGAAGGGTTCTATCCAGAACCCCATGCAGAGAGAGGGCCATGAGTCTGCCAGACCCCATGGCCATCCCTCACCACCATAAGCCTGCTCCCTCTCCTGCCCAGGTGATCGTGGTCAAGTCCACTGGGGAGGTGTTTGTGAACTCTATTTATAGCCAGCTGCCTGTCTCAGCAGGTGAGTGAAGCTTCTTCCCCTTAGTTCTCCCAGCAGCTTCTCAGGAGAGCAGGGCCATGACTCTCATGGCATAGGAGGGTGAGGGTGGGTGGCTGGCTGAGGAGCTTCCCCTGGTCCCATGCTGACCATGCCCTCTGTCCACAGGCAATGCCACCCTCTTCAGACCTTCGTCCTCTTTCATCATTGCTCAGACCAACCTGGGTCTTCAGCTGACCATCCAGCTCATCCCTATCATGCAAATCTTTGTAAGACTGGAGCCATCCCTGCGGGGGCTGACCTGCGGTAGGTGGAGGATGCCCTCCCCTCAGTCCTTCCCGATGGCCCTGGAAGATGGATGGCCTTATCCTCACTGGGCTCACTCCCTCCAGGTCTCTGTGGGAATTTCAATAGCATCCAGGCTGATGATTTCAAGACCATGAGTGGGGTGGTAGAAGGCACGGCCGCCGCCTTTGTCAACACCTACAAGACACAAGCCAACTGTCCCAATATCAAGAATCACTTTGAGGACCCGTGCACACTCAGTGTGGAGAATGGTAAGTGGGCTGTGCAGGGGTGGGGGTGGGGTGGGGGAACAGTATTGCCCAACACACAGACCTCACCTTGGGGAGCAGCTGGGGGATGGGGAAAGGGACCAGCTCTCCATTAGTACTGGGAGCTCCCGGGTGATAAAACTCTCCCTATCAGTGTAGGTGGGCTCCTTCTCGGTGACACTGAAAGCACTGAGGGTCCGTAAGAGCCTTGCCCAGGGTGATACAGTCAGCATAGGTCAGAGGCTTGAACCCAGTTCTTCTTGGCACCAGCATCAACCTTCTGTCCCTGCACTAGGCTGCCGATTCCTGAAGTATTGCCAGGCTGTCCATTGTCCCCGCATGCAGGCCTGGGGGGGCCTGGTTATTTCACTGAACCACAAACTCTCAGGGCAAGCAGGGCCCTCATAGATGTCAACCCCCTTCTCACTCCCTGTCTGAGAGGACACTGGGGCAGCTCAAAGAGGGAGTGTGGCTAGGGTCACACAGCAAGTCAGTGGGGAAGCAGGATGAGAGCCTAGCCCAGAGCCTTCTCCTCTTGAAGCTCCCCTAAGTCTAGCTGATTCATAAGACTGGGGTCCTGTACACTGGGGATGTGATGTGCATATCTGATCCTCCCAGGATGTAGCATGTTCACAGAAAATTAAGAGCAATGGGTCAGAGAAGAATCCAGGGATTGGGGAGAAAGATTTATTTAAAAATTACAAAAATTGAATAGGGAAAAATGTAATGTCTTATACTTGGTTTAAAAAACTTAATTTACAAATATAAGACTAGGAATGAGTGACTACGTAGCAGCTCATCTGAAAAAGATCTGGAAGACAGTGGACCCCTCAAGCTCAACGTGTGCCCCTAGGGCAGTGTGATGCTGCCATCTTGGTCTGTGCCCAGGGGCAGAGCTTCTGGGAACTGGGAGGTGGCAGACCTTCCATTCTCTGCCTGGGCCAGAACCTGTTGAGAGCTAGTTTTTATTTTATTTTTTTTAATTTTTGTTTTTAAACATTTATTAATTTATTTATTTTTAGTTTTCAACATTCACTTCCACAAGATTTTGAGTTCTAAATTTTCTCCCCATCTCACCCCTCCCCCCACCCCTTCTGAATACCCCTTCCTCTAATCTGCCCTCTCTTCTAGCTCTCCCCTCCTCTTATCCCCTTCTCCTTTTATTTTCCTGTAGGGCAGGATAGATTTCTATACCCCATTGCCTGTATATCTTATTTCCCAGTTGCATGTGAAAACATTTGTTTTTAAAACTTTGGGTTCCAAATTTTCTCCCTCCCTCCCTCCCTACCCAACCTCATTGAGGAGGCAAGCAACTCAATACAGGTTATACATGTGTAGTCATGCAAAACACTTCCATAATAGTCATGCTGTGGAAAACTAAGTATATTTCCCTTCATCCTATCCCTCCCCCCATTTATTCTATTCTCTCCTTTGACCCGCTCGCTCCTCAGAAGTGTTCGCTTCTAATTACCCCCTCCCCCAAGATGCCCTCCCTTCTATCACCCCCCCCCCGGAAGCTAGTTTTTAAACCCAGATGTAAGGATCAACACTTCTTCCCGATACCAAGTTTGTGAATTTCCAGGAATCTTTCTGCCCAGTCTTTGGATTCGTGTCTGGTCGTATCAGCCCCCTCATCTGGAGGTCTGGGTCCAGCTACAAGGGCCACAGTTTAGGAAGCACACCAATAAGCCGGACAATGTCTGGGGGGTGACCATGCTGGGGAGGGGTCTCAAGTTCATGGGATATCATGATCACTTAAAGGAACTGGGGGCATTTAGGCTGTGGGAGAGAAGAGCCAGGGTACATGTGAGTGTTGTCTGCATGTGTGTGAAAGGCTGTCTTGTGGGGGAGGTACAGGCTTGTTCTGCTCGGCCCCAGGGGGGCCGTACCACCAGGAGCCACCCTGGGAGCAATGGGGGGAAGCTGCAAAACGGGGTCAGAATGAACTGCCCGGGTGGGAGAGCTGCCCCAGCATGGAAGGGGCTTCCTGGGGAGGGTCTCATAGAAGCCTGTGTTGGGGACAGTGTATAGGGATTCTCAGCAGGTACAGGCTACATGAGAGGCCTCTGGCATGGATCCTGGGAGAGTGGGGCCGGCATGGGCACAGACCCTTGGGAGGCTTGCAGGGTTTGTGAGCCGCAGCCCCCAACAAAAAGCCCCCTGTCCTTTTTGTCTGCAGAGAAATATGCACAGCACTGGTGTGGCCTGCTTACCGACACGCAGGGACTCTTTGCCAAGTGCCATGCAGTGGTCAGCCCTTCCATTTACCATTCGGTAACTACCTGCCAGACATCTTTGGGCTTCAGAGGAAAGGGAGGAGGGCAGTGAGGGAGGGGCACAATGAGAAAAGCCAGCACCCCTCCTGTCCCCCCACTTGCAGAGTTCTTCAACATTCCCCAAAGCCTTTCCTTGCCCATACCAGCCTGATGGAGCACAGGCTCTGAGCCCTTTCACCCCCTGATTACGTTTGAAGACATGAGGAACACAGCATATTACACATTGGAGGTAGAGGGATCTGTCCAAGGTCCTAGAGATATCAAGGCATTAAAATGAGTCTCCAGGCCCCAAATTCAATACTTCCCATCGGATCAGACAACTGATGCAGGGACAAAGCAGGCTCCTGAGGGCAAGTGACAGCTGCTGGATCAGTCTGCTCTATGCAGATGGGATCTCTTCAAATTGAGCCTGATGTCTCTCCTCTGTGACCAGACAGCTCTGTCTAAGGAGCCATTCAGGGACCCTCTGGCCCTCCTCTCCCACCCTAGCCCCTTCTCTATAACCTGGTCCTAGCCTTGGTCCTGGTCCTAGCCTTAGTCCTGGTCCTGTTCCTGGCCCTGGTCCTGGTCCTGGTCCTGGTTCTGGCTTTAGTCCTGGCCCTGGTTCTGGCCCTGGCCCTGGTCCTGGCCCTGGTCCTGGTCCTGGTCCTGGTCCTGGTTCTGGCTTTAGTCCTGGCCCTGGTTCTGGCCCTGGCCCTGGTCCTGGCTCTGGTCCTGACCCTGGTCCTGGTCCCTGCCCTGGATCTGAGACCAGACACTTGAGTGCCTGCACAACCTCCCAGGGCTGATAATAATGAACTCGAGGGTTTGGAATCAAATTGAACAATTAAGAAAACACTCCTTAGTGGTTAAGAGTGATGTGAGTCCCTTCCTCTCCCCATCAAGCCTCCAAATGGGTGACTTTGGCCTGGAGTCTTGGAGGTGGCTCCTGGGCCTGTCTCAGTTCTCTGGCTGGAGAGAATTGGGCCTGAGGGATTCCTGGGGTCACTGAGGACAGCATGGGGGCCACTGAGGGCCTTTTTTGCTCCCCAGAATTGCATGTTCGACACATGCAACTGTGAGAAGAGTGAGGACTGTCTGTGTGCTGCGCTGTCCTCCTACGTGCAAGCCTGTGCTGCCCGGGGAGTACTGCTGAGTGGCTGGAGGGCCGGGGTCTGCAGTAAGTGGTCAAGGGGCTCGATCAAGGCAACACAGAGAGGGGAGGGGGACAATCCTGTGATGGAGATGCTGTTATTACTCCCATTTTACAGTTGAGGAAACTGAGGCAGACAAAGGTGAAGTCCAAGGTAACACAGCTAGCACGTGTCTGAGGCTAGATTTGGATTTGCATCCTGATTCCCAACTGTACCACCAGCTGCCCCTGCGTGGGGGAATAGTCAGGGAGGCCACAGGTCTGGAGGAAAGGGGAAGTGGTTTACCCAAAGCCGTCCCCATGGTCTCAAGAGTTTTGGGAGGACCGGCACACTGCCCACATCCCAACCGCCTCTGTGCCTTCCTTGTCTGCAGCCAAGAGCGTGACCTCATGCCCCAAGTCCCTGATGTACCACTACAACGTCACCACTTGCCAGCCCACCTGCCGCTCTCTTAGTGAGCCTGACGTCACCTGCAGTATCAAGTTCGGCCCCGTGGACGGCTGTACCTGCCAGGAAGGCACCTTCATGGATGACAAGGGCAAATGTGTGCCTGCGGCCAGCTGCCCATGCTACTACCAAGGGTCTGCTGTTCCAAACGGAGAGTCTGTCCATGACAATGGGGACATGTGGTAAGGAGCCTGCCCTGGACCTTCCTGACCCTGCAGTGTGGAGGGAGGAGAGGCCCTGGACGAGGCTGACTCTGCTTCTTCTTTTCTAGCACTTGTACCCAAGGCAGACTGAACTGCATTGGAGGCCAGGTCCCAAAGCCAGGTAAGTCCCAAGATGGCTCGGTGCTATGGTCTGCCCCTCTGAAGGCCCCACCCCGGCCCTCTGATCGAGCGGCCAGACCACCAGCCAGGGGTGGCCAAAAGCCCGGAAGAGCTTCCTCTCAGGAAGTGTCCCCAGATCAGGGGCCTAGGCCAACATGGGAGTTGGAAGGGGCCCTGGAGTCCACTGAGGGCTGTCCCCTCATTTTACTGAGGGGGTCATGTAGCTGGGATGGACTCCTTAGCTCCATGAATGACCACTTTCTCCCTGTGGCCTGGCCACCTTTGGGCATCTTCCCTGCATTCCTACACCTCAATATGTCTGCCTGTGTGAAAGCTAAGGTGCTGTCTCTGAGCCCTGGGCACAGAGCAGTATTCTCATGGCAGGCTGGCTCCAGCCCTGGCCCTGGCCCCAGCCCACAAGGATGAACTCTACAAGCTGGGCAGTCCATGGCTGCCAGGCCTGCTCACAGCTCACTTCTCTTCTCTACCAGCCTGCGCTGCCCCCATGGTCTACTTTAATTGCAGCAAGGCCTCGGCAGGAGCGACCGGAGCTGAGTGTCAAAAAAGCTGCCACACCCTGGACATGCACTGTGTGAGTGTCACACGAAGCTTTGCACCACCCTCCTTCTCACAGGGAGCACCCCACCCCTACCCTGTGCTTATATCAAGACGGGGCACTGCATCACCCACCCTCCCACGCCAGCCCTGTGCATGCATAAATGGGAGTGAGAAGTAGGATCAGGGTGTCAGGCAGAAGGTTTTGTGCCCCTGTACATGGGCACAAGTATGTGGACACACTCACAGGGCACCCTCATACACATACACTTTTACTATTACACACACACACACACACACACACACACACACACACACACACACACACCCTGCCTGGTCATGTGGCCAGCCCACCCCCCACTCTCAAACCTTGCCTGCCTGGGACAGGCCTGGCACACTTCCTCATGACAGTGCCATGAATGAGGGGGGCAGACAGACGCCTGGTCCTTCTTTCCCTGTCCCCCTCCATCTCTGCTGCTGGCTGCTTCCCACTCTGTGGCATCCAGGCCTTAAAGCAGGACACAGGCCAGAGCTCACATTCATCACCTCTGCAGAGCTTACAGTAGCTCTCATTTCCTTCTGACCACTTCAAGGCTGCCCAGCACATGCAGGAAGGGGAAACCCGTGGGATGTAGAGCCTGGACCTGTGACGGCAAAGGCAGCCAACTCCCCAGAAGTCTTTGCTTAGGGTCCTCCCAACACCTGCCTCTCTGCCTGTCAGTCTGTCTGTCTGTCTGCCTGACTCTCTGCCTGTCTGTCAGTCTGCCTGCCTCTCTGCCTCTCTGTCAGTCTGTCTGCCTCTCTGCCTGTCAGTCTTTCTTTCTTTCTTTCTTTCTTTCTTTCTTTCTTTCTTTCTTTCTTTCTTTCTTTCTTTCTTTCTTTCTTTCTTTCTTTCTTTCTTTCTTTCTTTCTTTCTTTCTTTCTTTCTTTCTCTCTGTCTGCCTCTCTGTCAGTCTGTCTGCCTGCCTCTCTGCCGTCAGTGTGTCTGTCTGCCTCTCTGCCTGTCTGTCAGTCTGTCTGCCTCTATGTCTGTCAGTCAGTCTGCCTGCCTCTCTGTCTCTGTTAGGCCTTTGACATGAGTCTTCTCTTGCCCACAACAGTATAGCAGCCAGTGTGTCTCTGGTTGCATGTGTCCAGATGGGCTGGTGTCTGATGGAGAAGGAGGCTGTGTCCACAAGGATCAGTGCCCATGTGTCCACAATGAGGCCAGATACCATGCTGGGGAGACCATTCAGGTGGAGTGCAACACCTGGTAGGTGCCCTCAGCTGCCCGGAGGCCTTGGCTTCACCCGCCGCACAGTCAGGCAGCTTTCTTCAATGAAGCAGCTCAGGAAGGCCTTGTAGGCAGGGTGTCCCAGTTGAGGTCCAGGGAGGGCTTTCCCTGCAAGAGAGATGCAGCCAGATTTCCAAACTCGCACCTCCTTGGACTCTTTGGTGCTTTGCCCGTTCCCAAAGAATTTTCCTGCTGAGCTTAAAGGAGGCAGGAAGGGTATGTGTGGGTTTGAGCTGGGTCTCCCCTGATGCCAAGGCCAGCACTCTGACAGCTGCTCTACCTTCCCCAAGAAGGAAGCCAGCCCTGGCCACATATAGCCCAGGAGGGAGCAGGTTCTAGCCTGGTCTTCCTCCTCCAGCCCCCCGTTCCCACTGTCAGGCAGCCTGTGCCACACGGGCCTGAAAGACATCTCTGCCCCCCTTTCTTCCCTTCTCCCCTCAGCACCTGTAAGAATCAAATGTGGCAGTGTACGAATGAGTCCTGCTTGGCCACATGTGCTGTGTATGGTGATGGTCACTACATCACCTTTGATGGCCAGCGCTATAGCTTCAATGGAGACTGCGAGTACACACTGGTCCAGGTAAGAGGGAAGGCCATGCTGGCCATGTCTTCCTCCCTCCCTGCCTTCCTTCCACCCTTCTCAGAACATTCATAGAGCCCCTCCCTCTGAAGGTTCCCTCCAATGTTTCCCTACCTGTGCAGCTGACCCCAAGGGCTGAGTGGAAGGAGAACTCTGGCCACTCCTAGTGACGGGGTTGGGGATTGCCTGGGGTCCTGACCTGTGCTGGGCAGGACATGGATTGTCCAACAGCCAGCCTGCTCCTGTCCAGAGGCCTGTCCCCAGCGGAGGAAGGCAGACCATTTTTGAAGTGGTAGGGGACCCTATGTCAGAGATTTTGAGAGTGGCCACACATGCAGAATCCTAGAACACGTTCTGTGAGATTCCAGGCTAGATCGCAAGGGCAATCTTAGTCACTCCATCTGCCACTTCCCAGACAGGGAGAACTCAAGGGGAGTCACTGGATCGGGGAAGGAGATCTGGCATGAGAGCCCAGGTTGTTGGCAGCGGGTGCCTGGTAGGCCTGGGGCAGGGAGGCTGGCCTTGCCCCTGGAGTCCCTTCCACTGAGAGAGCCCTTCCCTCGGCAGGACCGCTGTGGGAAGAATATCAGTGCCAAGGGGACTTTCCGAGTCATCACAGAGAACATTCCCTGCGGGACCACAGGCACTACCTGCTCCAAGACCATCAAGATCTTCTTTGGGGTGGGTCTCTACCTGGGGAAGGACTTGAAAAAGAGGCTGTCCAAGGAGAGTCCAAGGCAAGGGCTGGGGGCTGGGGCTAGCCTTGGCTAGGCGTGACTTCCCAGCAAAGCAAGAAGGAGAAAGGGTCACAGGACTGCGTGGGAGGCCCACTGTGCCCTGAGTGGGGCCACCGTCAGGCACTGTCCTGATGCCCTTGTGGGTCTGAGCACAGGCACTGAGCAGCCTTTGTCCTTTTAATCCAGGGCTATGAGCTGAAACTCAGTGAAGGGAAGGTAGAAGTGATAGAGAAGAAAGGTGCCAAGGGAGAGCCGCCTTACAGCATCCACCAGAAGGGCATCTACCTGATCGTGGACACCAACCTTGGGCTGGTGCTGCTGTGGGACAAGAAGACCAGCATCTTCATCCAGCTCAGCCCAGACTTCAAGGTACCATGGCTGCGCAGCCAGTGCCATGACCTCGTGGATGCAGGCTGCCCCGGAGAGGGCTTAATGGCGGCCAGGCTCTTGCTGGAAAATCCAATGCCTCTGTGTGTGTGTGTGTGTGTGTGTGCGTGTGCACGTGCACGTGCATGTGTGTGTGTGTGTGCATGCACAAGTTGCATAATGCATACATAAGTGTGCATGTGCATAGGTGTACATGCATGTGCATTGTGTGTGCCTGAATGGGTGTGTGCATGCGTGCATGTGTTTGTGCCCATGGATGTGCATGTTTCCATGTTTGTCAGCCAGAAGCTGAGTTCAGGGCTCAGACACTGAAATACCTACAGTGCCAGGCATGGGGGGCAGACAGAGATGAGGAAGACAGAGTCAGTGTCCAGCATGATGCTAGGCAGGCTATGTGCAGAGCTGCAGCAGCCCAGGTCAGCTAGGATTCAGTTACAAAACACTTTCCTCCCAACAACCTCCAGCTGCAGAAGCGTGGACCCTTATTTTGAAGATGAGGAAAAGGAAGCTTTTGCTCATCAGTGAGTGGTGGCATGCCAGGAGTCTCTCCCTAGGGCCACACCACCTGAGGCATTTGAGGACAAGGAGGATTTGAACGGGGGAGAATGGGTAAAAGGAGAGAGGTTGGGCAGGGCCAGTGGGCCAGACTCTTCTCCAGCAGGGTGGGGAATAGTGGCAGCAGAGCTAGCAGAGGTGTGCAGGCAGACTAGGGTCATGTTCTTCCACCTTCCTGACCTCATCCTTCTCTCTGGGCAGGGGAAGGTCTGCGGCCTCTGCGGGAATTATGATGGTAACAGCATGAATGACTTCACCACCAGGAGCCTCTCGGTGGTGGGCGACGTGCAGGAATTCGGGACCAGCTGGAAGATGTCCCCCTCCTGCCCGGATGCCGGCCCCACCAGGGACCCCTGCACCGCCAACCCTTACCGCAAGGCCTGGGCCCAGAAGCAGTGCAGCATCATCAACAGCGCCATCTTCGCCACCTGCCATCCTCATGTAAGACAGATCCCAAGGGATGGGGCATCCCCCTGCCTCCCCTCAGCATCACTGGCACTCAACTGCACACGAGAGCCTCAATCTCTTCTCAGGGAGGATGTGGCCTCTCTATCAGCCAAAGAACCTGAGTCAGTCTTGGGGTCATTCCCTGCCCCACCCCCATAATCTTCTTATTGTAAATTGAAGGCAGGAGATGAAGTCCTGGGTGACTTTGGGGGGTCATCTGTGTCCTGCTGGGGAGCAAGAAACACCGATGCTAACTTTGGTGTCCATAGGTTGAACCCACCAGATACTATGAGGCTTGTGTGTCAGATGCATGCGCCTGTGACACCGGGGGAGACTGTGAGTGCTTCTGCACAGCTGTGGCCGCCTATGCCCAAGCCTGCAATGAGATCAATGTCTGTGTCTCCTGGAGGACGCCCAGTATCTGCCGTGAGTCTCTGCACCCCCATAGGATTCAGGCAGGCTTGGCCTGCAGATCCACTCCCCCCAAAGTTCATCTCCAGGGACACAGCCAGAGGGGAGATGCCGAGGTCTAAGGCCATGCCAGGGTTGGGCTATACCACAGGGCACAGTGAGAACTGGTAGGAAGAGCCACCCAGTGGCCCGCCACCCTAGCTCTGCTCTCTGCATCACTGTCCTGTCTCTGTCACCTTTGGGGTCTATCAGAGGTGACCCAGGTCTTCTCAAGAATTGTCCCCAAGATCAGGTGGGCATAGCAGGAGGGTTGATGCCAAGATGCCCTTACATGCCTCGTCACACTTTGGTTCTCCCCTTCAGCTCTCTTCTGTGACTACTATAATCCCAATGGCTCCTGTGAGTGGCACTACCAGCCCTGTGGTGCTCCCTGCATGAGGACCTGTCACAACCCGAGTGGGAAGTGCTCTCACAACATCCGAGGGCTAGAAGGTAAAGCAGTGGAACCCCACCCCCCAGGAAGCTCAAAGGGTTCCCAAGACCATGGGTGCCTACCCACGCCCATGGCATGACCTAACAACACTTTCTGCCTTTGGCCTTGCCATGACCAAAGCACCAGAACCAAGTGCCTTGTCTGAGATCACATGGTGGAGGAGGGAGAGGAGGGTGGGGAGGAGGGAGAGGAGGGTGGGAAAGACAGGAGTGAGCTCCTGAAGTCTCCCTGATCTAATACCTGACAGGACCCCTTACCTTATTGTCCTGTGCCTCCAAAGCAATGTCTTCTCTAGGAAGCTAGGAGGAGCTCAGGAACCCCTGACTCAGGGACAAGATTGACCCTGAGTTCCCTGGCAGTTTGGGCATCATCTCTCCCTCACCCACTTTGCATGCATTCCACACCTAGAAGGCCACTGGCAGCTGGGGTGCTACAGGCTCCTGTGCTCTCCATTTACCCTCACACACAGACTAGAAGGAGTCCCTCCCTAAACACTTCCCTCTTTCTTGCTCAGTCTCTATGTGATCCATCCCCAGAGCACACTCACTACATTCACTCATCCTTCCAGGTCAGTGATTGGTCTCTCAGACCATGGGGAGCCCTGAGTGCACTCCACCCCGCGCCAAGCCCAGGGACTCCTAGGCACCCGCTTTCCCCAGCAGCCTCCTGGCACACATAGGTCTCTATCCCTCCCCCACCCAGTCCCACAGCCACCCAAGCTCCAAACAATAGCTCTCCAAGCAATCCCTGGGCAGGATCCACCTGTCAAATCCTATTGCTCAAGTCACAAATTCTTTTGCTACAAAAACTACCTGGAAGGTGTAATCACCTGGCCACAAACTTTGGTCATAGGTGAGGCTGGAAAATAGTTGGGTGGTCCAACACAATTTGAGAGCAAAGTCCCCTTGTTGGCCCTGCAGGCTGCTACCCCAAGTGCCCTCCAAAGACCCCCATCTTTGATGAGGATAAGATGGAGTGTGTCCAGAGCTGTGCTCCCTGCTACATCGAAGGAAGGTACTACCCACCAGGCTCCCCAGTACCCTCGGACAAGAACTGCCAATCATGGTAAGAGCTGGTGTACTCAGGGTGGTGAGTGAATGACATCTGCCCCACCCAATTCTGCTGTGATTGGGATTGTCTGGAAGCCTGAAAGCCCAACAACCTTCCACCTTCCACCTTCCACCCTGACTTGTTCCATGGGGCACCAGCCAATGTCCATGGATAAGAGCTCGTCAGAGGCTGATGTGTCCCTCATAAGGAAGGTGCCAGGGGCAGCTAGGTGGCACAGTGGATACAGCACTGGCCCTGAAGTCAGGAGGACCAGAGTTCAAATCTGGCCTCAGACTTAACACTTGACACTTACTAGCTGTATGATCCTGGGCAAGTCACTTAACCCCAATTGCCTAAAAAAAGGCTTTAAAAAAAAACAAGGGAGGTGCCGGTAGTTTGGAGCCGTTCTTCTAAAATTCACGGAAAAGAGAACAAGGGGGAGCCTTGTTCATCAGTGGTGTGGGGAGTCCATCCATAGAGGAGGTCTCATGAAGACTGCAGCAGAGATCCCCCCAGGTGACCACTTCTACAGAAATAGACCGTTTGTGGCTGGCATCCTGTCTGCACCTGTCCTTAGCAAACCCAAGTGCTGTCCTGAGGCGACGATCCCTGGCTGTGTGGTGGGGGTGGGGGTGGTGACTGGAGGAAGGAATGGAAGCAAATGGAAAGCAGAGCCGGTGGTGGATGACCCAAACGAGACTGGTGATTGTGGCTGCCTGCCTTTATAGATATTCAAGAGATGGAATGTCTGGCTCTCTTTCCCATTTTTCTCTCTGTTCTCAGCTCATGCACCGAGGCGGGCATCAAGTGCACTTATGACTCAAAGGGTAAGAGATGAGCTAGTTTTTGTGGGCATCCCCCTGGGTTGGGGCTAGCTGAGTGTCACATCATATGTTTGATGAGGTTCTGTCTCTTCTGGCTGCCAGCATGCATCTGCACTTACAAAGGAAAGTCTTTCCTCCCTGGGGATATCATTTACAACACCACAGATGGCACTGGGGGCTGCATCATTGCCAACTGCAGTGCCAATGGCACTATTGAGGGCACCGTGCATGACTGTACCCTCACCACCTCAGCTCCCTCCACCACCTTTGCCTTCTCTGACACCACCACACCAGGTAAGGCCACAACCTGAGTCTGCAGTTAATCCATCAGCAATTGTCAACATGCACGCTACTGTGGTACACACTGAATATGGAGACAGAAAGGAGATCATCTCTGCCCCCAAAAAGCTTCCTTTCTGTTGAACACAGAAATAGACTCAAAGTGATTTCAGGGCAGGGAAGGCACTCCTGTGGCAAGGGACCAGAAAATCCTCTGGGTCACAGGTTCTGGGGAAAGGACTTGGCTTCCTTTGCTAGGTCCAGTATTCTAGAAGGATATAAATTAGGCAGTGCCTTACTCATTTGCTCTGAGCAATTGCAGCAGCATGGTTTCCCTTGATGTGTTCTCCTACATTGCCCTTTTCCCATGTGAGGAAGCTCCCTTAGCTTCCTTTACAAATGTGAAGACACCAATGTACAGCCATGGGACTAAACATTGAAGATGATCCCCTGGCCAGAGACAAGACATACCAAATGCTAAGGCTTCCTTAGAATTCCAGCCTCACAGCACATAGGCTTCTTTCCTCTGCAAAACTACTGTCACATTGATCGGGGGAGGAGGGAGTAGATATCCTCATTATTCATAATATCATAATGACATATATCATATAACTTGTATCATAATAACATCCCATTATTCAATTCTTCTTCTTCTAAATTCCCAGGTCATCATTTTACATCACAAGGACACACAGCTACAAGAGAAATCACACCTGTAACTAGCTTCTCTGTGGAACCTTTCACGACTTCTTTGCCTATGACAGTACCAACTGTAACCAGGGTGAACACAAAACGATTCACTATTTCCGCCACTAACACCAGTATCACAACAGGAACTTCCTTTGAAAGTGTCAGTACACCTGGCATGACATCTGAAACCACAACGTGTGATGAAGTCTGCACTTGGTCCCCTTGGCTGGATGTCAGCCACCCAGGATCAGGAGCTAACAGCGGCGATTTTGATACTCTGGAGAATATCAGGGCAGAGGGCTACAGAGTGTGCAGATCGCCAAAGGAGGTAGAATGTAGGTCTGCAGAGTTCCCTGCTGTGCCATGGCAGGACCTCAACCAAACTGTGGAGTGCAGCAGAGCCCAGGGGCTGATCTGTCACAATACGGATCAGGTGTCTGGAAAATGTGACAACTACCACATCAGAATTTTATGCTGCTTTTCTCAACCGTGTACTCGCCACAAGGTCACAGCTCTCACAACAGCAGCCCATTCAGGAAGCACAGTTGCTCATGGCACATCTATTTCAAGACCACCGACAACGCCAGAACCCAAAGGAATCTCAGGGAATCACCTGACCAAATCAACTGCCACTCCATCAACAAGGGAAACTAAGACAATAACAAAACTCTCTCCTTCACCAGAGACACCGGGAACCAGCAGTCACTCTCCTGATGTGACACCTAGGCAGGTGACAATGTTACCACTGACAAATTCATGTCTACGAGAAGTCTGTGAATGGACACCCTGGATAGATGGGAGTTATCCTGAGTCAGATATAAATGGGGGAGACTTTGATACATTTAAGGATTTAAGAGCAAAAGGCTACAAATTTTGTGAGGTCCCCACAGCAGTGGAATGCAGAGCTGAAAGCTTCCCCAACACACCTTTGAATGAGCTGGAACAGAATGTGACTTGTAGCAAGACAGAAGGATTGCTGTGCTTAAACAAAGATCAGCTCCCACCGATATGCTACAATTATGAGATCCGGATACAGTGTTGTTCAAAGAAAGATTTCTGTCACTCGGGAGGAGAGAGCAGGCAAAAAAATACAACATCTCCTACACAGCCTCCAAGATCAAGTGGAGTGCATTCAACTAGGACAGAAAGAAAGCCTACAGAGACCCCAAGCTGCCAACGACAGTGCTCATGGACCAAGTGGTTTGATGTGGATTTCCCCTCATCGGGACCCAATGGTGGAGATGTGGAAACCTACAACAACATCATGGCAAGAGGAGAGAAAATCTGCCACCAGCCGGAATACATTACACGGCTTGAATGTCGAGCAGAGAACTATCCCCATGGCTAACATTGAGAAAATAGGACAGGTGGTGGAATGTAATGCTGACTATGGGCTCATCTGCAGGAACCAGGATCAGAAGGGGACATTCAAGACGTGTTTTAATTATGAGATTCGTGTCCTCTGCTGTGAGCCAATGAAGAACTGCCCCAATACCACTGCTACATCTGCAAACACTCCCATTACCACATCAGTCACCACGAAGCCGAGTCCTGAGACAACCTCCATGTTGTGGCCACCACAAGCAACTCGGTTCCATCTTCACCCACAACCACAATAACAGCGTTCCCCCTCCACACGCAAACGGAAAGCCATCCTCACCTCCTACAGCCACAACCGCTGAAACAGCGAGCCAATCACCGGCTCCCAGCTGCCAGCCACAGTGCTCATGGACCAAGTGGTTTGATGTGGATTTCCCCTCATCGGGACCCAATGGTGGAGATGTGGAAACCTACAACAACATCATGGCAAGAGGAGAGAAAATCTGCCACCAGCCGGAATACATTACACGGCTTGAATGTCGAGCAGAGAACTATCCCCATGTTAACATTGAGAAAATAGGACAGGTGGTGGAATGTAATGCTGACTATGGGCTCATCTGCAGGAACCAGGATCAGAAGGGGACATTCAAGACGTGTTTTAATTATGAGATTCGTGTCCTCTGCTGTGAGCCAATGAAGAACTGCCCCAATACCACTGCTACATCTGCAAACACTCCCATTACCACATCAGTCACCACGAAGCCGAGTCCCGAGACAACCTCCCATGTTGTGGCCACCACAAGCAACTCGGTTCCATCTTCACCCACAACCACAATAACAGCGGTTCCCACTTCACACGCAAAAGGAAAGCCATCCTCACCTCCTACAGCCACAACCGCTGAAACAGCGATCCCATCACCGGCTCCCAGCTGCCAGCCACAGTGCTCATGGACCAAGTGGTTTGATGTGGATTTCCCCTCATCGGGACCCAATGGTGGAGATGTGGAAACCTACAACAACATCATAGCAAGAGGAGAGAAAATCTGCCACCAGCCGGAATACATTACACGGCTTGAATGTCGAGCAGAGAACTATCCCCATGCTAACATTGAGAAAATAGGACAGGTGGTGGAATGTAATGCTGACTATGGGCTCATCTGCAGGAACCAGGATCAGAAGGGGACATTTAAGACGTGTTTTAATTATGAGATTCGTGTCCTCTGCTGTGAGCCAATGAAGAACTGCCCCAATACCACTGCTACATCTGCAAACACTCCCATTACCACATCAGTCACCACGAAGCCGAGTCCTGAGACAACCTCCCATGTTGTGGCCACCACAAGCAACTCGGTTCCATCTTCACCCACAACCACAATAACAGCGGTTCCCACTTCACACGCAAAAGGAAAGCCATCCTCACCTCCTACAGCCACAACCGCTGAAACAGCGAGCCCATCACCGGCTCCCAGCTGCCAGCCACAGTGCTCATGGACCAAGTGGTTTGATGTGGATGTCCCCTCATCGGGACCCAATGGTGGTGATGTGGAAACCTACAACAACATCATGGCAAGAGGAGAGAAAATCTGCCACCAGCCGGAATACATTACACGGCTTGAATGTCGAGCAGAGAACTATCCCCATGTTAACATTGAGAAAATAGGACAGGTGGTGGAATGTAATGCTGACTATGGGCTCATCTGCAGGAACCAGGATCAGAAGGGGACATTCAAGACGTGTTTTAATTATGAGATTCGTGTCCTCTGCTGTGAGCCAATGAAGAACTGCCCCAATACCACTGCTACATCTGCAAACACTCCCATTACCACATCAGTCACCACGAAGCCGAGTCCTGAGACAACCTCCCATGTTGTGGCCACCACAAGCAACTCGGTTCCATCTTCACCCACAACCACAATAACAGCGGTTCCCACTTCACACGCAAAAGGAAAGCCATCCTCACCTCTTACAGCCACAACCGCTGAAACAGCGAGCTCATCACCGACTCCCAGCTGCCAGCCACAGTGCTCATGGACCAAGTGGTTTGATGTGGATTTCCCCTCATCGGGACCCAATGGTGGAGATGTGGAAACCTACAACAACATTATCGGAAAAGGAGAGAAAATCTGCCAGAGACCTGAATACATTACAAGGCTTCAGTGTCGATCAGAGAACCATCCCCATACTGAGATTGAAAAAATAGGACAGGTGGTTGAGTGCAACCCTGACTATGGCCTAATCTGCCGGAACCAGGATCAGGAAGGAACCTTGAAGATGTGTTTGAACTATGAGATCCGGGTTCTCTGCTGTGAGCCAGTGGAATCCTGTCCTTTAGCAGTGTCCAGCTCAAGCTTTCCACCAAGCATTTCCAAGAATGCATCAGCCACAACCTCTGCTCCAAATAGTATGTTCCCACCTGTACGTGTTTCCACATCCTTTACCACCTTGTCTCCACAATCAAGTTCGTCATGTTACTGTTTCTTGTCTGGGAAAGTCTATCGGTCTGGTAAGTGCCTTTTAATAGGTATTTCCTTTCTCAGTTGTTTGTACTTGTGATATTCCCTAATCTCTTCACTTCCACTCCTCTTATCCGTTCCCTCACTGGAGTCTAAGAGTCCTTGTTGCACTGCTTTCCCTCCATGGCTTCCCTGAAGAGCCACAAAATCATTTCCAGTGGCCATAGAGACTTATGCCAACTTATGGAGGGCCTGTGATCAATCCCTTTTCCTGACTTTTCTGGTTTGTTTTCTTTGACATTCATACTAGCATGAAACAAACATTCACGCTAGCAATAACAGCAAAATCAAGTGAAATGAGCCTTCCCCCTTCATTCCAGCTGCTTTTCCAAGTACACTCTCATTCAAAGCTTGATTTTTACCCCACAGGAACTCTCATATACAACCAGACAGATCACACAGGGCATTGTTACTCTGCTCTTTGCAACAAAGACTGTAGTGTGAGAAGGATAGCAACAATCTGCCCCACTTCAGCTCCTGCTCCCGTCCTATCCCAATCATCATCAACCTCTGCATCGGCAGCCACGGCCACAGTCACAGCCACATCATCATCCACTCTCACGTTGCCATCAGCATCTTCATCTCTCTCTCCAGTCACGCCAACAAAGTCGAGAGATTGTCTGAATGCAGTACCACCCAGAAAAGTTAGTTGGACGTCTTTGGCACAGCGGGGACTGACCTTGCGGGGGAACAGTTTCAAGAGTTGTGTGTAGGAATTTTCCAAAGTTTGCTTAAATTACTTAAGAATCTGAAGTTGGGGTGTCTGGGAAGATCGTTACAAGAAATAGAGAAGTGGAGAGCATAATTTGGCTTTGAGAAAAATGGTAGTTTTTCAGTATGCTGAGTCAGAAGTAATGGGTGAACACTCAAGGGGAAAGAGTTGTCTCAGGAGGTATGCCAGGGTCACTGATACAAGTGTTGGAATCGTCCCAAAGGGGGTGAGTTGGTATTGGAAAGGGTCTCAGACATAACTTGGAGCCGAACAAGGTAATAGAGTAAGTACTAGAGGAAGACCCATTCTGATCCACATAAAGGGCTCCATTCCTCTACTGGAATACAAGAGATGTTCTACTAATGGGATTTGTAACTGGATTTGTAGGGGCCTCCAGGAACTTGGCGACTTCTTTATGTGTTTAGTACCTTCCTTTCTGAATGGCACACTAGAGAAGAATCCTGCAATTGATCACATCAGGAAATCACTGGAGCTACTCCCCCACCCCTCTTCTGGGCCTTCACTTGAGCTTCAAGACCCTAGTTCCAAATCTGTATCCTTTCTTTCACAGAAAGGAGAGACCTGGTCCATACACAAGTGCAAGAAAGCCACCTGTGAGGGTGATGATGTGATCACACTGACACCTGTGAGCTGCCCTGCGGTGAAGAAGATGTCCTGTGCTAATGGCTACCCTCCTGTGAAGGTCTATGATGATGCTGAGCACTGCTGCTACCATTATGAGTGTCAATGTGAGTGACTGAGAGTGGAGCCCAAGTTGATGGCTCCACAGTGAGTTGAGACCAGTGGAGGATGTGTCCAGAATGCTGAACTGAGGCAGCTACCAGTTTTTGAGCATCATGCAGACAGCAGAGATTAGTGCTTAATTAGCCAGAATAACTAATCAAAGAGGAAGCTACTCTCTCATTTCCCCCCTCCTCAGGCCCTGCTGTCCCTCTCCTGCTAATACCCACCAGTGTCTGTGTGCAGAGGCAGCACCTCCCCACCTTCCCTGAAATAGGACATGCCTGATATCATTTATGTCAGAAGCAGGTCCCGAGTTCAAAAATTCCAGTTATTGCTCTTGCTGATGTGCAGAGAGTAAAGGCAAGGTCTCTGAATCTTGGAAGGATTCAAGGAAAGGGGACCTGCTCCTTGTTTCCAGTTTCCCCAAGAATAGGGCACACAGGCACTCACCATAACCAGGAATGTTGTGTTGAGATGCTAAAGGGCTTGTGTAGAAGACCTGTGTGTCAGGGGAGAGCCTTGCCAATGGCCAGGGGATGGGTTTGGTGCAGTCCAGTTGACTGGAACATGAGATTCTCACTGTACACACTGTAACAAACACTGGTCAGCAGAGGCTGAGGGCAGAATTGTCTACCTTCTTCTATCCTTCATGCCCCTGAAGGACAGCACAAGCTGGCCACGGCCCCTCATCATGAAGGGTCCCTGGTGGCTTACATGCTGTTCATTGGCCCCCTTCCCCCTCCTTCTCTTGCCAGGTGTGTGCAGTGGCTGGGGAGATCCTCACTACATCACCTTTGATGGTGTCTACTACACTTTCTTGGACAACTGCACATATGTGCTAGTGCAGCAAATCCACTCCGTCTATGACCACTTCCGGGTGCTCATTGACAACTACTTCTGTGGTGCCCGGGATGGCCTGTCCTGCCCTCGGTCGATCACTGTTGAGTACAAAGGCAATCGCGTTGTGCTCATCCGGACTTTGGTCCACGGAGTGATGGAGAATGAGGTGGGAAGGGCTTCTTTTCCTGGGAGGTCCTAGCTATGCAAAAGGACCTGCTGCAGCCTGCTCATTTGAGCTGCTTCTTGGTGTCTTGGACTCCAGATGGGAGGTGGGAGGGGGGCCCAGATCACCACACAGAATGAGGGTATAGCCCTGCCCAGCAAGCAGGACTCTCAGCAAGGGCACATGCCAGGCACCATGGCAGAAACAAGCTGGGTGATAGCAAGAGGCAAATGGTGGCTCGTTCTTCCCCTCCTCCTCCCTCTCCTTGTGGGTGGAACTGCACTTGGGCCCCTGAAGGCTCTGCCAGTGCAGGAGGAAGGATGGCTTCAAGGATGCTCCACATGGGACTGAGGTACAGAGAGGGCCCCCCCAGATCCCTTTCCCCAGGGCTGGGGTGGCCTAACCAAGTGATTCACATGTGCTGACTTGGACAGCCTGCCAGGCTGTCTGGTCCAGCTCCTTTCCCCAGGAGGTATTTGAATTAGGTAAAGGAGCCAGCATTGGAATAGGAGCCGTGTTCAGCAGGGGCAGTCACACCTAAGTGCAATCCCTCTGACTCATTGTTTGTCGTTAACCGTGACTCTGCCCCCAGGTTATCTTCAACAACAGGACTGTCAGTGCAGGGTTCAAGAAAGATGGCATTGTGATCTCCACCCTGGGCATTAAGATGTTTGTCACCATCCCGGAGATTGGTGTCCAGGTCATGTTCAGCGGGCTGCTCTTTTCAGTTGAGGTGCCTTTCACCAAGTTTGGCAACAACACAGAAGGGCAGTGTGGTAAGTGCCTGGGCTCTCATGGCCTCACCCATGTGCCTACCCCCCAAAGGAGAAAAAGTCATGGGGTGTCTCTGCTGATGAGGGATCTGGCTGGACTTGGGCAGCTAGGCTGGCTAGAGTACTTGTATGGGCTTGGGCCTAATACCTATTTGAAGGTAAGCTTGAGGGAAGGCCTTGATGCCTCATGCCCTTACCTTCCCCAAAAAATCTCAGGGAATTAGCAGCTGAATCCCTCATGAGAACATTATCCTGATTTTATTTCTAGGTCCAGAGATAAAGCAGGGTAACTGAGGCAGGTTGATTTACGTAAGGCTTGTGGTGGTAGTGAGTCATGACCCAGGTGTTCTGGCTTCTATCACAGGGCTCCCTTCGGCCCTGCAGCTTCCAAACAAGCAGATTGGGCTTCGTAAAAAATGCTCCACCATCTCTGAGTAGGTTTCTCCTGAGCTCTCAGTGACACCATATACTCTCCTGCAGGGACATGTACCAATGACAAGAAAGATGAGTGCCGCCTACCTGATGGGAAGATTGTGTCCTCCTGCTCTCAAATGTCTGGCTCCTGGAAGTACCATGTGCCCAACCAGCCTTACTGCTATGGACCATCCCCCACTCCCACCCCCACAATACCTTCCCGTACAACACCCAAGTCATGCCCACCTTCTCTTCTCTGCAAGCTGATTATGAGCAAGTAAGAAACCAAGGAGCACAGACAGGAAGTAGGGGCCCGAAGAGTTAAATGTGGGCTCAGGCAGAGATATGAACAGGGGTTCAATTTCAGCTCCCCTTGGGAAGGAGCTCTCTAAAACCTGGGGCTCCCCAACAAGAATGATTTGTCTGGTGAGGGAGTGAGCCCTCTGTGACCAGCAGTCTCCACGGTGAAGCTTTCAGATGTTGCAGAGGGGAGCTGGGCACCGGGTGGGAGTGGCAGGTGGATAGGGATCACTGAGCTTCCATGTGCCTCACAGTAGCAGATTCTATAATCCTTTCCTTACAGAGCAGGGCCCTCCGCCAGGTGTTAGTGGGAAGTTAGAAAGGGTTTATTGAGAGCCGTGACAGTCCTGAGGAGATGCTTAGGAAGAACAGGGAAGAGAGCGAAGTGTGCTGCTGGACAGTTCCCATCATTCTAACCCTGAAGTCAGTCTGACACATGGGAACTGAGGCCAAGAGGTGTTGGTTCCGATGGCTTGGTTCTATGGGCTGTGGGAAGGCTCTGAGATCCAGGCTCCCTCTGCATGGCCCAAGCCAGGGCCAGATGAGCCCAGACTAGGCTGCCTGGGCACCCCTGGGACACCATCAACTGCTGACTTCTGGCTCCTATTTTTAAAGGGTCTTTGAAGCATGTCATCATGTCATACCACCAGAGCCCTACTTTGAGGGTTGTGTGTATGACCAATGCCACATCCCTGAAGGCAGAGTATGGTGCTCAGGCTTGGAGCTGTATGCATCCCTCTGTGCAGCACAAGGCGTGTGTATCGAGTGGAGGCACGAGACCCAGGGTCAATGTTGTGAGTGATCCTGCTTTGTTTCTTTGGCCCGGCACAGGAAATGGGATGAAGTTGACCTGGGGGCCTGAGGAAAGGTGGAAGGCTTGGGAAGTCCATCCCATCACTAGATAGAAGGGGAAGGAGCTCTAATGGTTGTTGGTTCCAATCCCCTCCATTTAGAGATAAAGGAAGGGACTTGTCTAAGGTCACATGGTCCTAGATAGCCAAGTTGGGCTCAAACTCAGCTTGTCTGACTCCAAGTTCCACACCAGTAGCCTCCCCATCTCTGACTCAGTTAGTCCTTCAAAACTGGGCATCTACCAAGGACATGAGTCTAAAACACAGAGATGTGTGAGAGGCAGCGGCTACCACATAGGATGTGGCGATAAGATCAAGATCAGAAATTAGAGTCCAACCCGCTCATTTTATAGATGGGGATAATAAAGATCTCACGGCTAGGAAGTGCCAGACCCAATACTTCTCTGACTGAACATAGAGTTGGGGAGTAGAGAGAAGAAAATGAAGTGAGGGTTCTGGCTGTGGCAGAAGTTTGGGGTTGAGAGCTCTGGAGCTGGGGTTGGCATGATGAACATTATCTTCTAGGAAGAGCACAGGATGGGTAGAGGGCACTGGGCTGGAGCTCCACACATAAGGCATGGACTTGGAAGGAGTCAGGGCTCAGCTCTTGAGGGAGTTAGTGCTCCAAGGCTATGCCTCCTGAGTACAGTTTTTCCCTTCTCATATAGCCCTTACCTGTCCTGGTAACAAAGCATACCAGGCATGTGGTCCAATCTACCCGCACACCTGCCAAAATCCTCAGGGAAGCATCAACACCAGCCTGATGTAAGTCGTTGAATTAGGTCCATGGACACCTGCCTCTACCCTGGTTCTTTAACTTCGAATGTGGAACACTCCTCGGCCCTGGGTCCCCATTTAGAGTTTGTGAGAAGGTGGTCAGCCTTTGTCTGCTTCCCTTGGTACCCACTCCCACCCGAGATAATCCAGACAGGCTGTTGGCTTCCCCACTGGCCCTGGGATGGAACCAGGACTGAGAAGGATTGTGTCGAGATCTGATTCTCTTTTCCCTTAGCATTGCTGATGACATCAGCCTGTTAACAGAAGGATGCTTCTGCCCCAATGGCACCACACTCTTCAGCTCCAACTCCAACATCTGTGTGCCAGCCACACCACTTGAGTGCCACAGTAAGTGATATGCTTGCACTCCTGTGGCATAATCCTGGAATCCCAACTAGATGGGGCTCAAAAGGGCATCTGGACCAGCTGGTGGTTTCCAGAGAAGGTGGTTGGTCTCTGGAAGGGTGGCTTTGGGTGCATGAGAGGGCCAATGAGCTCATCCCTGGCCAGGAGGCGTGTGTGCCAGCCAGCCCTGGGGTTTGTCCCACTTAGCCCACTGGGGTGCTTCTGTGAAGTTCTTCTTCCCCAAGCACCACAAGCCAGTGGATGTTTTGGAGGTCGAGGGCTGCCCTCTGAAAACAAGGCCTTTGCCTACAGCCTGCCTCTCTTCTCCTGTCTTTCAGCCTGGTGCACGGGCCCCAGTGGAGAGCCTGTGGAGGTGAGTATTTCTGTGCCAGGCAGAAGGCCCAAGGAAGGAAGGTTGGGGAAACTCCTCCTGCCTGGAGCTGCTGGGTGCCCAGGGCTCCTAGTCCTTCCTGGCCATGCTCTGCCCCAGCCTTCTGCTCTGCTCTGATAAGGGAGGAGTTGAAGGACCATCACCGGCCTGCAGATTGCATTGCCTCCTTTGCCAGGCCTACCGCCCGGGGCAGCTCTTCCCATTGTTTTTGCTCTGGGCTTGGTGCCCTCCGAGCTAACAATGAGGGCATTTCCAGGGGTCCGGGGTGTGTGTGGGAGACGGTGGTTCTGCCTTCCTCAGGCTGTGACTAGGACTTGCATAGCAGAGATCTGGAAGGTGCAGGCCTCTGGAGCTGCCTTCGTACTTGGCCAGCCTGGCCCATGGGGACTTTCTGTTCTGGGCCAGAGATGCAGGCGTGTCTCTGAGTCAGGCCAAGTCAACGAGTGCTTCCTGTGTGTCAGGCACTGGGCTAAGTTCTAGGGGCACAAATGCAAGCTGATAGAAAGACAAGCTGCCTTCAGGGGGCTTCCATTCTAATGGGGGGAAGATGGCAGCTGAGAGGGGCAAGTGCTTACGTGGGAAAACAGTGACAAAGCCCTGAGAGAAAGGAGTGTGGCGTGGGACAAACGAGGCCTGATTGGCTTGGGTCCTTCTCAAAATGGAGGCTGTGGGAGGAGGGGCCGCAGGGCGGAAGGACCTTCCAGGGAGAGGCCCTGGAGAACACCAGCCCGGAGAGCTGTCCCAGCGTGGAAAGGGCTGCCCTCCCTGGGGGCCTGCCGGCAAAGGCTGCATAGTCACTTATCAGATAGGACCCTGAGCTGGGGGCTCACTCCACCTTCTGAGGCACCCTGAGGACAGTCTGGAGAAAGGCAGAGGACCTGCCCCCAGGCTCCTCTCTGACCTTGCCTAGGGGAGACAGTCAATGTTCATTTAATCTAATTAGGAGAGAGCAAGAAATGACAGTGGCCCTCCAAGGAAGGAAGACGGTGGCCTTTCAGGCTGGCCTGGAGGCACTGCCCACTTCCACCTGCTGTCCTCCGTGAGGACATGGGGTGGGCGGGGGCTGCACCATTCTCCAGGATGGCCGGGCACCCCTGGCAAGCTGCAGACCCTCACAGCTGGCCAGTGCCCACTCAGGCAGGAGAGAGTAGAGATGGGGCCCACCGGCACTAACCTCGGCCCTGCCTCTTGCCTCCTCTTCTAGCCTGGAGCTGCAGTGTCCTCTGGTCCCTGTGAAACGTGCAGCTGTGTCCCTGATAGCAACCCAGAGTCCAAGACCTATGTCATCAAGTGTGAGGCCAAAGTCTGTGACACCCACTGTCCAGTGGTGAGTGTCCTGTTGCCCAGGCATCTCCTCTGGGGGGCAGGGAGCGGTCATAGCCGGGTGAATCTCACCCTGGATCTCCTTGCCCCTTGTGCCCTAGGGCTCCAAGTACCAAGAGAGGTCGGGCCAGTGCTGTGGTGAATGTGTGCAGGTGGCCTGTGTGGTGCAAGTCAATGACAGCTCGGTGCAGCTGGTCCAGGTGAGTGAGCCAGGCCCGCTGCACTCCTCCCTCTCTCCCCCCAGCTGTAGACTCAGCAAACCTTCTCTGCAGGCAGAAGTGCCCTCCCCTGCCTGGGCTCTGCGGGTGGGCATATTTCAGTGGCAGGGCGGGTAAGGTCCAAGCTCAGAGGCAGAAGCCCACCCACCGATCATGCCCCTGCACAAACCTGAGCCAGGGCCCATGCCTGTCCATCCCCACAATCCCTCCCGATTGTGCTGTGCCAGCCAGTCAGTTGGGGCTCAGTAAGGGGGTGATGAAGGAAGAGGGTCCATGCCCTAGAGGAATGCCCAAGGGGAGAGGGGAGGGTGGGGCGGCCTTGTCCAGTGCTGCCGTCCACAGTAGGGAAGCCCTGGACCCAGGGCTGGGCACACAGGAAGGGCTTCACAGAGAAATGCTTATGGACTGGATAGGTGTGAGTACGGCCAAGTCTGGGTTGTCATTCCCTGCCCCTTCTCTTGTCCCTTTCAGCCAGGAAAAACCTGGTCTAGGCCTGGGAATAAATGTGTTCAGTATGAGTGTGAAGAGGTCAATGGCCAGCTCATTTTGGTGACTGTGAAGAAGGCCTGTCCCCCTACCCTCTGCTCCCCGGTAAGCTCAGGGGGGAGAGGGCTCACTTTCTTTCTCCCCCAGGGAGCAAAGGAATCTGTAGATGATGACCAGGGCCTCCCCCTCGGCCCAAGACCTGGGTCCTGTCATGGCCAAGTGGGGTGGGGGTGTCTAGAGTTGGGTGTTACGAGAAGCCTCTTCCTTCCCTTGAGTCTCCCTGGAGGCTGGGCTAGACCCCAGCCTGCCCTGTTCTGTCCTCTCCTGGAGGTTGGTGGGGTCTCCCCTCCCCTCCTCACTTCTGAATCTCCAGACAGCCAAAGGAAGTCCTGTTAGGGCCAAGACTCTGGGGAAGAGGAGGGCAGAGGAGGCTGAGCAGAGGGCAAGGCCAGCCTGCTCCTGTCCACTGTCCCACTGTCCCACTGGGCACTGGCTATGAATGACTGTTGTCTCCCCACATACACAGGACCAAGTCAGAAGGAGCGAAGATGGCTGCTGCCTTGTGTGCCCATCACCGTCCCGTAAGTGAGCCTTGATCCTTCCTTCTTGGCTGCCCACCCGACTGGAAATCTGGGTTCCCCCAGGAGAGGCTGAGGCAGGGGCTGGGAGGGAAGGTGGAGGGTCAAAATCACCCTGGAGAAGCCAGACAGGAGAGCAGCACAGACCTGACCCAGGAGCCTGCCCTGGGAGTGGGCCCCTGCCCCACCCCTGTGGCTCTGTCCACCTGGACACAGCCCCTTGACCGGCCCCATCTGCTCCTCAGGGTTGTGACCTCGAATGTTCTGTCTCTGCTTCAGAGGTTTATCCTTGTGCCATGGGTCGCCATACTCAAGTCATCCGGAAGGGCAGCTGCAACTCCTCCACCCCGCTGGAAGTGACCTACTGCCAGGGGAACTGCGGAGACACAATGTCCATGTGAGTGCCCGGTGCCCTTCCTGCCAACCTTCACATCGCTGGGCTCTGTGCTGCATGGCGCCCTTTCTGTCACCCAGGAGCCTTGGTAGCAGGCCACCCAGGACCTGAGGGGAGAGCAGATGGCTCAGGCCTGCAGGGTGTTAATGGGCTGGCCAAACAGGGCCTGGGCAGAGGACAGGAGTGAAGGGCCAGAGAGAAGCTGGGAAATGAGAGTGGAGGAGGCAAGGGGTCAGGGGCTGAGAGCTTCGAATGTCCCCCTGGGTAGGTCAGAGCCCACGGGCTAGCAAGGCACAGTGGCACTGGAAGAGCCAGAGGCTCTGGTGCCAGATTCGTGACCCTGGACAAGTCCCTTCCCCTCTCCAAGTCCCTTCCCCTCTCCAGATCTGTTTCATTCTTGGTACAAGGAGGGGCCTAGGCTAGGTGGTCTCCCAGGTCAATTCTAGCTTGATCTGCTCAACCCAGGAGTTAGGTGTTGTGGGAATGGAGAGAAGCAGGCAGACACAGAGTGCCCAGAAGTGGCTGTAGTGAGAGAGGTCACAGTGGTGCTTGGAGAGCACTTTATAGACATGATCTTATTGGAACCTCACAAAACTCTGGGAGGGAGTCGCTACAGCTGTTATCATGCCCATATTACTGATGAGGAAACTGAGGCCGAGAAGGGGTTGGAAGGCACACAATAGAGGGTGTCAGTGATGGAGTCTGAACCCAGGGCTTTCCTGATTCCAAGAGCTGTACCTTTCCTCATACCCCATGTTGGCCAGACCAGGTGTGTGTGTGTGTGTGTGTGTGTGTGTGTGTGTGTGTGTGTGTGTGTGTGTGTGAGAGAGAGAGAGAGAGAGAGAGAGAGAGAGAGAGAGAGAGAGAGAGAGAGAGAGAAGATGGAGGGAATGCAGAGGTACACAGACCTGGCTCAGAGGGCTCAGCTGGGGGCCACCCTGGGCACCCAGGACCCCAGCTTCATTCTCCCGATTCTCCCCGGCAGCTACTCCTTCGAGGCCAACGTGGTGGAACATCGCTGCCAGTGCTGCCGAGAGCTGAGGACCAGTCAGAGGAACGTGTCTCTGAGCTGCCCAGATGGCTCCCACCTGGCCTTTGCCTTCACCCAGGTGGAGGAGTGTGGCTGCCAGAGCTCACGGTGTGACAGTCTAGACATCAAGAGTAGTGACAAGGAGGATGAGTCAGCCCCGAGCCAAGAGCAGGGAACCCTGGTGCACCAGGATGAGCAGAGCCTGCACCGGCGAAGAGCTGCACCCAGCTCCCAGCCCCGGAGATAAAAGGGCCCCAAGACCGCTTTGGGTGAGGGCTGGGGACAAAGCCCCCAGGCCCCCAGGCCCAGCCTCCTAGACATCTCTGTTTCCTCCTCATTTCAACTTCCATTACTGACATAGCTTAAGCCTCTCTGGGACCACTCCCGGATGCTTCCAGAGTCACTGGCAGCTTCCCCCTTTGCCACCTGCAGCTGGCCCTGTCTGGCTAGAATGCCAGCGTAGGCAAGTGGCTGGCAGGATGAGACCTGTGTGCTAGCTTCCTGGGCATCCGACGGGGGAAGCTGATGCTGTCTGGGTGTCTGCGGCTGACTGGCACCAGCCACACTGCTCTGGGCTTTCCCCATGGCTCGCCAGTTGGGCTTCCATGTGTCCGCTACTAGGCGCAACAGCACTGACTGTCACAAGCGCTGGTCAATCCCCTCTGGAGCCCCTAAGGCCCGGCCCCTCCCTCCCCTGCCCAGCACCTGTGCACAGCTGTTCTGTTTGTACCGGGCCCCACCACCACACCGCCATGGTCCAGCCTTATTCCTGAGCTGCTGGCCAACGTCTGCGCAGCCCAAAGTGAAAGGTTCTCTGAGACCCATTTGAAGTCAGGTAGCAGAAGTAGGGGGGTCTCTGAACAGACTTTGGGAGGCCTGGGTTGTATCTGGCTCTGGACTCTTTCTCCTCAAGGGAGTGGGGTGCCAGGTATGGCTCTGCTCCCTGCCCTCATCCCTGGCCTGGCTGGGGCTCTGCTTGGGGACAGGCACCAACAGGCTCCTTCTCCTCATCCAAAAATGTTCATCTGGTTGATTAGAAATAAACCTTTGGCATTTTGCAGTCTGAGTCCTGTCCTGATCTACCCATGTCCAGTGAGCAAATCTCCCTGGGGTATTCTTCTCCACACTGCCCCATCTCTCCCCGGGGAGCCACAGGGAGAGACCCAGGGCCTCACTTGCCCATGCCCACGACAGCAGCAAAGTGTCTGGCGGGGAGGGGCAAGCTTACCCCAAGCTGAGAAGGAGTGAGTTGCCCCCTGCCTGGATCACTGCTCCAGGCCAGCTGCTAGCCCTGGGCACCACGGGGGAGCAGGGAAGGGCTTCTGGAGCCTCTGAGGTTCAGAGTGTGAACAGCTCCCTGAGTCACACAGGCGGCCATGGCTGGACAGTGGTTGGAAACTGGCCCTGGTTTAGCTGCAGGGACTTGGGACAGATGGAGCCATGAACTTTCAAGGAGGGGGAGGCAGGTGAACAGGAGACCCACCCTTGAGAAAGCAAGGAGGATCTGCCCTTGTAGAGTAAAGAGAGAATTTTGGAGCTGGAAGGGCATCCCAAGCAGGAATTCTACCCCCACTCCCCCGGCAGAGTTCAGCCAGCCTCCATTTGAACATCGCTAAGGACAAGGAGCTCACTACCTCACCAAATAACCTATACAGGAAGCACTCTAATTGTTAGAGAGGGGGATGGACTATGACTCTCTGGGCCCAAGGAGGAAATAGAGGCTCAGAGACGAGGAAGGGGCAGCTTGTGTGGACCCAGCATTGGCCTCCTGGTCTGATGACTCCATCCCAATAGCCTTCTCTCTGCCTGTGCCCCTGACTGTCCCCCTGCTGGTGCCAGCTCTGCCCTCTGTCACTCCCTGGCCCTCAGAGGGCTGGGGCTGGGTCCTAGTCCTTTGGGTCTGGGAAGGCAGAGGTCCCAGCTGTCCAGGCCAAGCCTTTCCAGTCTTTAAATGCAGCGTCCCACGGGGAAAGGGGCCGGGAGACTCGGGGGAAGAGTTCTCTGGTTAGCTCCTTTGCAGAAAGGGGCTTGGTCACCGGTTGGCGGTGAGAGCCTGGAAGGGCAGTGCCTGGGATGTCTGCAGGGTCCCCACTGGCCACTAGAGGGCAATGAGCCCTTAGTTAGCCTGGGCAGGCCTGGCTTCCCGGCCTTTGTTAAGGAGGGTAGCTCTGTCCCTTAGCCCTCCCTGGGGGCATGGGTGCCCAGCTAGGCCAGATTGGTACCCATCAGCATGATGGTCTGACACCTGGGGTGGGGGTGGGGGGTAGGGGGACGCCAGAGCAGGAGGGGCAGCAGCAGCACCCCTCCTTGTCATCCCCTGACCCCCGGGACTTCAGAGCTGGGCCTTGGAACCTCTCATTGGCTTTGGGGGGTGGCAGCACCAGTACTCAGAACCCTTGCCGGGTAGCAGGCAGGCAGGGACCGACAAGGCCTAGGACAGGACCCACTGTCATTGAGTCTATGCCTGCCTGCTGTTCCTCGAGTCCTCCTTCTCAGCAGCTCCCGGAGGGGAGTTCAGCGACGGCTCTGATGGGAGGGCCAGGGTGGCCCTCTTCCCATAGGTCACTGGTCTGTCCCAGTGGTGCAGGGGACGAGGAAAAGCGTCGGCCTAAAGTGTAGAGCAGAGCTAGGCTGGGTGCTCCCTCTGAGGTGGGAGAAGACACAGATATTTGCCTACATCTGCCTGGGACAAATGCTGAGCTGGGGCCAGGGTCGGGGTGGGGGGCGCTACTGCTGTTGCTGGGACTTGGCAGAGGCTTCCAGAGCACTTCTCCTGTCCCCTGCACCTCCCTCAGGTTAAATAGTTGAGAATACAGGACCAGTAACCCAAGAAGGACTCGGGGCATGGCCAGTCAGTGCATGCATGCATGAATGAAAACATGAATGAATGCATGCATGAATGAATGAATGCACGCATGCATGCATGAATGAAAACATGAATGAATGCATGCATGAATGAATGAGTCACCGTGGCTGGAATTCCCAGGGCTGGGTCAGGTTCCCCCCTTTAAGCACCAAAAGGTTTTTATGTTAATCGTCTGGTTGCAAATCCTTCACAGAAGAGGGTTTGAGGGTATGGGATAAGGACTTGGAGGAAAGGTCTCTCATTCCTGGGTGGGATTGTGTATTGTACAGAGGAACTGGGCTCACATCCAGGTGATGGGGGCTTCCTCAGTTTCCTCTTTTGTCAAATGAGGAATTGGGCTTGATGAGCACCTAGCTTCCTTCCAGTTCTACCTCCCCAAGCAGAGGGGACTGAGCACAACCTCGGGGTCCCCACAGGGAACAGCAGCCACTGCCCGGGCTGTCTCAGCAGTGAGTAACCCAGGCTGCTGTGCTCTGAGTGCCCATGGTCTGTCTCCTGCCTCGTCAGGATTTGGCAGCCGGGACTCCCCCTACCGCCCATCTGCTTGCCACTTCTGGTCTGTTGTGGGCTAGGAAATCAGACAGCCGGGCTGGTTAGCATTATATGTAAGAGAGGAATCAGTAAACTCCCAGTAAAGGCTGCCATCCTGTCCTCAGAAGTCTTTATCACTTCTCTTTCCTGAATCCTAAGTGGCGCTCTGCGTCTGCACCTTCTCCCATTGCTCCCTGCCCTCCAAGTCCCTCCCCCACTTCAGGCCTCAGCTTCCTGAAGCCCATGAAATCATGAGACCCCCACTGGCCACTAGAGGTGCGAAGTGTCTTTTATTCATTGCCATCTCCTGGGTGAGCAAGGCTACTCTGGTAATGTTTGTGCCAGGAATCACTCAGACTCCCTGGCTGGGGCCCCTGGAGTCTTTGTCAGAGGAGCTAAAGCTCTGGGGGCCCAGCCAGTGTGGGACTGTGGGCCTGAGCCCCAGTGTTCCCTGGCTGTTTAAGGGCAGAGATCTTCCCCTGGGGGTGGAAGGTCTGGCTGCCTCCCATATCTCAGGAATAAGACAGCTGAAGCTTAGCCCAGGGCAGCTGGATTTACCCCTTCCCCCAAGGCTGCTTGCAATCTGAAGGGTCCTGTGGCCCCAGGGAGGGGTCACACCTCTCCTTAGACAGGCAGCCTACAATTAATTAGGAAAGGAGGCCTCTGGGTGATTGGCACCTTGTGCCAGGGGCTGTGCTGGAGAGAACAGGTAATCTTCCTCCTCCCTGCCAAGCCTGGCCCCATGCAGAGGTGACCCAGTGTAGGCCTGACGCTGTCTCCTCTTCTGTCTCCCCAGACCATGGGCAGAGGAGAGCCGGGGCATGGAATCACTGACACTCTGTGACCCCACAGTAGGATGTGCCAAAGGGTCTGTGCCAAGGTGGTGTCCACCCGGGGAGGGGGGAGCATGGGTGGGGGAGGGGCTGTCTCTGGGCAACCAGAGGCCTGGGCCCCCACCTGCTATTTGCATTGGCCTCTTGTCAGCTGGGAAGAGCTGGGCCCAGCCTGGGGCCCACACAAAGATCTGATTGATCAGGGAGTAACTGGATCGAGGTAATACCTTCAGAGGGCCCCTGCAGGTCCCCCAGCTCGCCTCTGCCTGCCAGCCAAAGTTACGCAAGTCAGACTTGCAGGAAACAGAGACAAATCTGGTGCCTCCCTCCCCCAACCCCATCCACATGGCTTTAGCTCTGGAAACCTGGCTCCTTCCTCCTAATCACTCACCCTCCTTAACCACGGCCCCCAGGTCAGTCAAAGGGACAGCAACCTCAAAAAAGGCCATGTTGGCTTTGGCCACCTGCCACCAACTCTCCCTCCCAGCCCTTCACAGTGTGTGCCCTGGACTTCCACAATGAAAACTGCTCCCATGAGTGGGGCCGCTGTCTCTAGAAGGCCTTGTTAAAATACGTGTTTTAGCCTGGGCCCTGGGACTGGGGGGTCTGGTGTGAAGGAGACCTGAGGGGATGAACCATGGGGAAACCATCCTGGCTGGCCTCTCCACGGACCAGGAGTGAGACTTCTGTCCTCACTTCTGCCTTTTGTCCACCAAGAAGGTTGAGCCAGATGGTCTGGACACCCGGATGAAGGTGAGGGTGGCCCAGGGATTTAGGGGGCTCTGAGACAGAGCTTGGTGAGGTATCCAAGGCAAGTTTCCTTCTTGAGAATTGTGCCTTTCAAAGACAGATGACAATGATTTTTAGGGCAAAGAGCACCAGAGTTGAAAAGGACCTTTCATGGGAAACAATCAAGTCTAGCCTTTCCCCATTTTATTGATGGGGAAACTGAGGCCCAGAGAGGGGGAGAGTCCTGCCCAAGGTTACATGGCAAAGTAGTGACAGAGTGAGAAATAGAACTCAGTTCTCCTGACCCCCAGTCTGGAACTTTCTCTCAGTCTGTCACTATGCTGGAGCCTTCCTGGCTCCCCTCAACACGCCCACATCCAGTCCCTAGACCAGCTCCCAGGCTCTCTTGGCCAGGCCATTCAGAGAACAGACATTCCCACTGTCTTCCCTTTAGGACCAGGTGCTAGCAGGCTTAGCAGGTGGTCTCTCCCATCCTGCTCCAAGACCTGAGTGAGCAGACAAAGTCCTCTGCCCTCCTCATGGCCCAGGTGGGCCAGGATATATCTTCACAAACTCATCAGCTGTCCTGGAGCAAGAGGCAGGAAGTGAAAAAAGAGATCTAGGGGTTTGTTCAGTGGTGGAAAGCTGATCTGGGCTCACTGCAGGCTCTTCTCCTGACCCCTAAGGCTGGGCAGCTGGCCCAAGCCCTGCCAGGGAGGATTACCTGAAAGGTTAGCCATAGTGATTACCTCTGAGTCACAGAGGGAGCCATGCAAGTTTCCCAGATTGAGTCACCAAGGAATTGGTGGGGGGGAATGGGAGGGCTCCTTTTTGTGGAAACCAAACCCAACTATAGGGAGGAAAAGAATGGAAAATGGAGAACTCCCCCAAGACCCACGACTCACCCAAGGAAGATGGAGGGGAAGGATGAATGCCAAGTGAGACCTCTCACATTCAGGGGACAAACTGGCAACTCCATGAGGCAATCTGACCCCAGGGGAGCTGGGGCTAGGAGCAAAGGAATGATTTCTTG